AAAAAAAGCTAATGCTCTTAAGTGGTTATATCTGCAAATGCAAGCAAAAGAGAAAAGAGGGAGTTATATTTTGTGATTATTGCTCCTCCAAGACGGTGTCTACGAGCATTTACTGAGTGAAAAAGAAAAATAACAGCAAATGCGTCAAAACGGTACTCTAACAATATATTTTTCAGAATAAGAAAACAAAAAACATACCTTATCACTATCGCGTAGACCTTCACAGATAAGCGCAAGATCTTGTGTCAGAGATCGTACACGAGGGAAAGAGGCAATGAGGGTGATGGGCAAAAATCCTTCCGCATTCATCTTGCGGCGTAAGAAGAAATCCTTTTGAAGGTTGTCGGCAGAGAAATAATATTCGCTGGAACAATAAAATATTTTTTTCAAAACAACATCCAGCCATCTTAGAATTTTCGGTCAAATTTAGAACCTTGTGAAAATCTGCACAGCTGCATCAAACATACGAACACTCAAGTACCGTATCACAAAAACTGTAAGTGACATGCGTTGTCTAGAGTACGTTTGCTTAGCGCTTGTTGTTTCAAGAATAGTACGAAAGTGCTGAGATGAACCAGCTTTTATTATCTCTTTACGAAAATTTGGTAAGATCAGTTTTTGAGAAAAATGTGCGTATGAACAGCCTCATAAATTCACATCTTTGAAACACAGGACTTGCGGCCTCACAACTTGACCGAAGGCGTAAGAATTGATTTCTCCGAAGAAAAAAAAAGTTCATCAAAATCGTTATTCATTCAGAACTTAGAAAGTCGTCGTAGTTTTTGACATGCCCAAGATGACCGTCTTAGGCAACCGAAATGGATTGAGTTTCGTTTTGTTTCGAAAGAAAATAAGACCGAGCTTCTAAAAACCTTGAGGAAGCTACTTGCACTCCAGAACTTTAGTGTTAGCTGCTCAGAGTTAACAGCACCTTCTAAACGAAAATGAGACTGTTGACGTGCTCTAAGCAATAAAACTCTGGTAAAAAAAATACGGTTATGGATAGTTGTGGCTAAGCATAACTATACCAATCCAGATGTTGACCTTTCGTGAATTCAACTTACTAAGATATGTGTATGTTAGAACAAAAAAATCATCGCGGTGATGGAAAAATCAACCAAAATGATATCATCTTTCTGCTGACAGCTGTGCAACAAGGTCATAAACTTTAGAAAATTATGGTGCAGGACCGCACACGAGAGACAATAAAACTGCAATAACTTCACATAAAAAACTCACATTTGCTTGCGCACACAATCCTTCAGCGTTTCATCATTGAGTGGAACGAATGGAGGTTGTGTCGGATAAATTGGTGCAAACGGTATTGCTGTGTTGATCGAATCGCCAATTGCAGCGGTTAGGACAGCTCCCTGAGGGCTGAGAAGTGGAGTAACACCAACTGGCTCAGGAGGAGCCACTATATGTGGTTGCATCAATGGAATTGCTGGTCGAAAACCGAAAGCAGCCATATGCTGCTGAGCTTGTTGAATCATCATGCTGGCTACTTGAGGATCCATGCCTCCCACACCATCAAACGGTGGTATCGACGACATTGCATAGTACTGGGCGTACTGCGAGTCCATTAGATTCATATAGTCGAAATTATCCTCGCCATCTTGTATATCTTCCCAATCTGGCAGTGGACCACGAGCCTTGCGCTGTGCTGGGGTCAGTTTCGGAGGGGCATGAGGATTTCGGGACTGGTACCTGTCGTTGCGTTGATAAAACGCTCTCGGCTTGTCGCTATCTCGTCTTTCAGCATTTTTATGCCAATAGTCAGACTTTTGCGCTGAGCTGCGCATCTCGCCCCTCACACCTTTTGACGATCCAGTAGAAAGTCTATTGCTTCCATTTGCGAGCGGCTGCGGCTTATCTTCTTTATGAGGCGACTGTGGCTTCTTGGCAGTTGCGCCCGCCGACGATGCACTCTTTGCAGGTGTGGAGGACAGGTCTGGCGAAGACATTGGTCCAATGGCGTTCTGCGACTCGCTCGATTCTTCGCCGCCGCTCAGGTTCTTTTTCCAGCCTTGATTACTCCCTTGCGTGTAGTAAATACCATTCGTTGTGTTGTCAATTACCCTGCAAACATAAGCGATAACCCAGAATGACAGCAGGACTTAGAACTTCATGAACTACACATCGCTAGACAGGAAAATTCCAAAGACAAGACAGGCGAGACAGAGAAGGAATGCGAAAAACCTAGGGAAATATCGATTCAGAGTTCGAAAAGGCGTCGTGTTCGCGGATGGACCCAAAGCATAGGCATGGGAGGTCCGAAATAGCGTTGGCAGTGGAGAGAACCGTCGAAGAGGCACGCCGAAAGAACACTGCATGCG